GGGGGGGGGGGTGAGGTGACACAGAGTGCATGTAAAAGCTGGTGAACATTGAATAAAGTTAATACTCTAGCAACAATGCACCAATGCCAATTCCTGACTTTGATGTGGTTACAATATTTTTTAAAAAATCAACATTGAGGGGGTTGGCGCTGAGGCGTAGCAGGGTAAAGCCACTGCCTGCAGTACCAGTATCCCATATGGCTGGCAGTTTGAGTCCTGGCTGCTCCACTTCTGATCCAGCTCCCCACTAATGTGCCTGATAAAGCAGAGGAAGATGGCCCAAGTCCTTGGGCCCCTGCACCACGTGGGGAACCTTGAAGAAGCTCCAGGCTTCTGGCTTCAGATCAGCCCAGCTCCAACCATTGCTTCCATTTGGGGAGTGAACCAGCAGACATTGTATGCTCTCTCTCTCTCTCTCTCTGCCTCTCAAATAAATAAATAAATAAATCTTTAAAAAAAAAAAAAATCAACATTGAGGGAACCTGTGAAGCATTCTTCACTGTTTTTGCAACTTTCTTAGTCTACAAAATAAAAACAGTAGGGGGCCAGTGCTGTGGCAAGCGGGTAAAGTCACCCACTGCTGGCATCCCATATGGTTTGAGTCCAAGCTGTCCACTTCCAATTGAATTCCCTGTTAATGCACCTGGGCAAACAGCAGAGGATGACCCAAGAGGTTGGGCCCCTGCACCCACATGGCAGACCTGGATGAAGCTCCTGATTCCTGGCTTTGTCTTGGCCATTAAGGCCATTTGGGGAGTGAACCAACAGATGGAAGATCTCTGTCTCTACCTCTCTCTGATAACTCTTTCAAATAAATAAATAAATCTTAAAAAATAAAGTATAAAAGTAAATTTAAAAAATTTAAGAGAAAGCATTCTTCAAAAAAATGTCAATGTAATAAAAGAAAATAAAAAGTTGTGGAAATGTTCCATAATCAAGAGGTTGAAGAGATAAGACAACTAAATACAACACCTGACCTTAGATGAGGTCCTGTCCTGGAACAAGGAAAGTGCTATAAGGTACATTATTGGGTCAAATACAAAATTGGGGTAAAAAGTATAAATTACTACATTTCTGTCAATGTTAATCTCACTACAGTTGATAACTACATTCTGTTAAATGACAGACTATCCCTATTCTTGGAAAATACACACTGAAAATTTCAGCGTACATAACTCATTCCCTTGGCAACAGTTACTAATTTCCCAAATCTGCATCTCAATTCCAAATTTCTATGCATCAAACTCTTATAACCAACTGCCTACTGTACATCTTCTCCTGGCTATTCCCAAGACACCTCCAACTTAACATTTCTAAAACAGACCTCACCGTCTTCCCATTTCTACCTGGTTCTTCTTCCTGGGTCTCCTATCTCAGTGACCAGTATCATCATCCAGTTTCCCAAGCACCAGAGGAAGGAGAACTGCTCATGATTTCATCTTCAATCACAAAGTCCAACCACCTATTAATTATCTTTCTTTAAAAAAAAGATTTATTTATTTATTTGAAAGTCAGAGTTACAGAGAGAGAGAAGAAGAGGCAGAAGAGAGAAGTCTTCCACCTGCTGGTTCACTCTCAAATGGCTGAATGTCCGGAGCTGGGCCAATCTGAAGCCAAGAGCCTGGAGTTTCTTCTGGTCTCCCACGTGGGTGCAGGAGCTCAAGCCCTTGGGCCATTTTCCACTGCTTCCCCAGGCCATAGCAGAGAGCTGAGTCAGAAGAGGAGCACCCAGGACTCGAACCAGCGCCCATATGGGATTCCTGCACTGCAGGTGGCAGCTTTAGCTTTTCGTGCTCTGCAACAAGACCCTACTAATCTTTGTCTTTCTTTCCTTTCGACAAGCAGAGTGGACAGTGAGAGAGACAGAGAGAAAGGTCTTCCTTTTTCTGTTGGTTCACCCCACAGTGGCCGCTGCGGCCAGTGCACCGCGCTGATCCGTAGCCAGGAGCCAGGTGTTTCTCCTAGTCTCCCTTGCGAGTGCAGGGCCCACGCACTTGGGCCATCCTCCACTGCACTCCCGGGCCACAGCAGAGAGCTGGCCTGGAAGAGGAGCAACCAGGAAAGAATTCGGTGCCCCAACCGGGACTAGAACCCTGGGTGCGGCGCCACAGGCGGAGGATTAGCCTATTGAGCCGAGGCGCCAGCCCCTACTAATTATCTTTTAAGCACTAGGTCTCTCCACTCCCAACTCTGCCACAACCTTAAGCCAGTCAGTTACAATCATGCATTACCTAGATTGTGGCAGTTTTCTCCTATTTCCCTGCCTCCACTGTAACTCCCCTGCAATCCATTTGCCATGCTACAGCCAATGTGTTGTCTAAAACACACATCAGACAGATTAGCCTAGGCATGTCAGACCCTTTCTGATTTGGGCCTTGCTTCATTCACACCCTATGTTCCAGATATACTAAAGTACATGAAGTACCCCTACACCTGAGTGCACCATGCTCTAGCCTTTGTACAAGCAACACCTGAAACCCAACTCCTGTAAAAGCAGGACCCAGCCTCTTGTCTAGCCCGCTTAGCCCAAGGTGTCCTTGCCTGTCCTTTATCAAAGGAATTCACTGACTTGAAGGAGTGATACAGCTGGCTCTACAAGGTTCTAATCACCAGACCCAACCAGTCATTTGCTTCTCCAACAGGTAAGAACCTTGATGGCCAGGACTGTCCTGGGGGTAATTTGTGTAGGGGAATTCCAGATCCAAGTAGACTGTAGCTGCCACCTTCCCGTAACCCCCAGACTGACTGGAGCCCACCTGGGCCATCGTAAATTCCCTAAAGAACACGGCATCACTGACCAATCAAAGGAAGGTCATAAGCATCACTGACAACCAGGAATTTGGACATGAATTGATCATGCACCTCTCAGCCCCAATTTCATTGTATAAGAACCTTCACCCCTAACTCCTCAGGGAACCCAATCTATAAGAACCTTCACCCCAGGGCCAGCACTGTGGTGTAGCAGGTTAACGCCCTGCCCTGAAGCGCCAGCATCCCATATAGGCACCAGTTCGAGACTGGCTGCTCTACTTCCGATCCAGCTCTCTACTATGGCCTGGGAAAGCAGTAGAAGATGACCCAAGTCCTTGGGCCCCTGCACCGGTATGGGAGACCTGGAAGAAGCTCCTGGCTCCTGGTTTCAGATTGGTGCAGCTCTGGCCGTTGTGGCCAATCAGAGAGTGAACCAGTGGATGGAAGACTTCTTTCTCTCTCTGCCTCGCCTTCTCTCTCTGTGTAACTCTTTCAAATAAATAAATCTTAAAAAAAGAAAAAAAAAGAGAACCTTCACCCCTAACTCCTCAAGCAGCCTGGAATTAAGCAATAACTACCCAGCTCCTTGCTCTGTGCTTTGCAATAAATATCTACTTTATTCTACCACCCTGACATCAGTGATTAGTTTTCTGTGTGTTGGGCACATGGATCAACTTTGGGGGTTCTGCAGCAATGCCTCCAACTAGTTTGGGGTGTTGTTTGGCAACATATCCTCTGCCTGAAACAAACTAGCTTACCAAAGCTAACTCCCAATTATCTTGCAGTTTTCATCTTAAATGTCACTCTCCTAATAAAGAAGTCCTTCTGTCCCTGCCTTTCTGCCCAACACCTCATGGTGACCATACCAGCATCCTATGCTTATTACCACCATAATAAACAACACCGCAACAAAATGTCTTTTTTTTTTTTTTTTTTTTAGACAGGCAGAGTGGACAGTGAGAGAGAGAGAGACAGAGAGAAAGGTCTTCCTTTGCCGTTGGTTCACCCTCCAATGGCCGCCGCGGCCGGCGCGCTGCGGCCGGCGCACCGCGCTGATCCGATGGCAGGAGCCAGGAGCCAGGTGCTTTTCCTGGTCTCCCATGGGGTGCAGGGCCCAAGCACCTGGGCCATCCTCCACTGCACTCCCTGGCCACAGCAGAGGGCTGGCCTGGAAGAAGGGCAACCGGGACAGAATCCGGCGCCCCGACCGGGACTAGAACCCGGTGTGCCGGCGCCGCTAGGCGGAGGATTAGCCTATTGAGCCGCGGCGCCGGCAAAATGTCCTTTTTAAATATCCATCTCCAGGGCCAGCGCTGTGGCGCAGCAGGTTAACACCCTGGCATGAAGCACCGGCATCCCATATGGGCGCCAGTTCGAGACCCAGCTGTTCCACTTCCGATCCAGCCTGGAAAAGCAGAAGATGGCCCAAGTCCTCGGGCCCTTGCACTTGCGTGGGAGACCCAGAAGAAGTTCCTGGCTCCTGGCTTCAGATCGGCACAGCTCCAGCTGTGCCGGCCAGTTGGGGAGTGACCCACTGGATGGAAGACCGACCTCTCTCTCTCTCTCTCTCTGCTTCTCTCCTCTCTCTGTGTAACACTGACTTTCAAATAGATAAATCTTTAAAAATAAATAAATAAATAAATATCCATCTCCACATTAAGAGGCAGGAACCTGGAAAAGAGGGACATATACTATCCATCACCAGCACCGAAACAGTGCCTAACACTACAACAGAAGCATTCAAGTGTTTTTAAAGGTAAATGAATAAACCTAGGCACTTACACAGGTCCAATGAAAGAATGCTGTATCTATCTGAAATAGTGCATGAGGACATACTGACAAATTCAGTACCTGTGACTAAAAATAAGCTTCATGTCAAGACTTGACTATTAAAATACATACACAGGGACAGGCATTTGGCCCAGCAGTTATAGACACTGCTTAGCATGCCCCATTGCACATCAGAGTGCCCCGGTTCAAGTCCCGGTTCCTCTTTCTGATTCCAGTTTCCAGCTGATGTGCACCATGGGAGACAGGTGATGGCTCAAGTAGTTGGGCCCTTGCCCTCCAAGTGAGTTCCAAGCTCCTAGTTTCAGTCTATCCAGCCCAGCCCAGCTCGGCTATTGTAGGCATTTGGGGAGTTAACCAGCAGATGCTTTGTGCGTGTGGACCCCACCTTTCAATTAAGTTTTCAAAATTTAAGAAATATATACACATGCTGGCTTAGCAAATCTAACCAAATCACATACCTGCTGAAAAGATGTCCATTGCTCTTTTCAACTCTCCTCTTGTTCTCTGATTGCTATTTAAGTCCACAAGTGGAGTTGAAGGATCTCTCATATATTCTAACTCTGTGGCAAACATCCCACCATCAACAAAACGTTCAGGAGCAATATAGCAAGTTCTTCTCCGTGAAGTGTCAAAGAAATAATTGAAATCTGCTGGATTGTCCTCTGGAAGGTAAGTGGGTTTAAAACTGGCGAAATCAGTTAGCAGAACCCAGTTCCAACTGGTGACCATCACATTTTCAGTCTTGATGTCCCCGTGACGGACCCCGGATTTATGTGCCTGGTCCACAGCCGTCAGGATCTGGAAGGCGATCCAGCGCTTCTCAATGTTATTTAAGAACGGCCGCGTACTGATGCGATCGTAGAGGTTGTCTCGGACATACTGCCGAAAGAGCATAGCTGCTTTCTCAGAAGCTTTTTCTGCCGCTTTCTGGAAAGGCAGACAGTTCTGTGCAGAGTGGAGCCGGATCTTCAGCTCCTCCAGCTCTTGTTTATAGCTCGTGAGAGGCAACGTGGGATCCTGAATCGCAAAGACCTTCACGACCACCAGGCCTTCTCGATGCTTCGCTCGAGCAACTTTGAAAAACCGAGTACTTCCCAGGCTCTTATCATATTCAAAGTCATGGATGTCCGAGAAGTAACTCTCCACAGACAGGATCTGGGAGGGAGCAATGCCAGCAAGTTGATTTCCCATAATGGCAGGCACGTCTGGCTCAGTAAGTTGAGATACAACACCTATAAAAATATATGAAGAACAAAGACTAAGAAGCAATGAAACATTTTTTGGTCTCTTACAAATAGATACACCTTATTTCTCTTCCACTGGGACCTAACCTTCTGCACAGCCTGTAAATCCCACACCCATTTATTTTTAGAAGACCAAAATGGAGGGATCAGCTTTGTAACATAGCAGGTTAAGCCTCCGCTTGCAATGTCAGCTTTCCAAATCACAGCACTAGTTTCAGTTCCAGCTGCTCCACTTCTGATGGAGCTCCCTGCTAATGTGCCTGGGGAAGCAGCAGCAGATGGCCTAAGCACTTGGACCCCTGTACCCATGTGGGAAACCCGGATGGGGCTCCAGGTTCTTGGCTCTTGGCTTCAGCCACTTGGGGAGTGAATTAGTAGATGGGAACCCACTCGCTCACTCTCGCTGTCACCTGCCTTGCAAATAAACTAAATAAACCTTAGAGCAAAAAAGAAGGCCAAGATGGTGGTGTGCCTTCCTGTTGCCCTTCTCGGCAGCTGAACTACATCTACACAGGTCCCTTCAACACTAAGACAATATTTTAGAATATTTATTGACACTTAAAGTACTTGTATAAATACACTTAAAAAACGTTTACAGCAAAATAAACTGATTTTTAATTCCACTTCTCCACAAATTTTCTTAGTTATCCTCGTATTAATGAGCCTTAACTATACACGTTCAGCGCATTACTTGGAGCTATGAGGGTTACAAAAGTACTGCATGGCACAAAGTTAAAAAACTTGTAGTAGTTTTCTTGGTGATAAAAATCGGATACATTAAAAATTTAAAACTCTAGTGTGCCCTCCCAACCAGCTAAACGAAGAGGCGAACTTCTCTCTAGGGTATAAGGACGGGGAGAATCGCTTCCGGAGATCTTAAGCAAGCCCAAACACACACTTGACAAACGCAGCCCAAGGTTCTCCTAACTCCGGCTTTGCGGGAAATAAAAGCCACACACACACACACACACACACACACACACGGCCTGGCGCACAGAGAAACATTACCCTAGGCCTCTGGAAAGTGGCAGAAATCGCTCAGTAGCTCACGAGGTCATGGCAGGTCACTTCGGGCCTGGGAGGGCAAAGGCGGCAGCAGCCCGGAAAGTTGTCTCTCTCTGGGGGCTCTTCCTTCAAAGACAGAGAGTGGGGGAGGGGAGCAGAAAAGTCCCAACCCTCAGGAGCCCCGACGTTCGCGGGGTACAGAGAAAGCTCCCGGGGACGCCCTGAGACTCCCCAGCCAGCCAGGGATTCGCCCCGCCAGCTCCCGGCCCTGCCCCGGGGGCCCGGCCTTCCTGGGCGCCGTCTTCCTCTCCCGGAGTAGCCGAGCAGACCCAAGCTGCCTCCTCGAGGGTCTGCCCGCCGGGCGGGGAGGTGGCGCCCGGGAGAGGGGACCGCCAGGCTCACGAAAACACCACTTCTACAATCGCTGCAGCTCCAGCAAACGCCGAACTCCCGGGAAAGCTGCCGGTCTGACCTCACTTCCTGTCGCGGAGCGGAAGTGACGCAAAAAGAGGCCGGAGGCAGAGCGAGAGTGGGAAGTTGGTTGCTAGGAAACGAGGAAAGGGCGGGGCGGCCTCAAACTGGGAGACTTGAGGAGGAAAAGGTGATGATGCTCCTACCTGGTTCGGGTACCCGCCCCGCGCGTCACCCTTTCTCCCCCAACTCTGGGGCTTCTGACACGCGTCAGAGTCTGCTAGAATACCCCCCGGACCCCAGTGCGAGTTCTTTAAGGGCACGCACAGGCGTAGGTACTATGTGCCAAGCTGGGTATTTTAAGAGCACTGAGATATAATTTACATGCCGCAATGTTCAGCTGGTTAAAATGTGCGCCTCAGTGGTTTAAATATATTTATAGTTATGCAGCCATCCCTATAATATAATTTTAGAGCTTTTTCATTACGCGGTGATGAAACCCGAGACCTTTATTGCTGCCTCTCCACGCTCCCAGCTCCCTCCCTCCTCCTCAGCCTCAGGCAACCAGGCATCTTCTGGACATCCCGTTTATGTGGTATGGAGCGTGTGGCTTCGTGACCGACTCCTATCACTAGGCATAATTTTTCTTTCTAATGTTTAGTTATTCTCGGCTACTTGAAAGGAAGCCTGACAGAAATAGAGATCTTCCACTCCCTGGTTCACTCCCCAAATGCCAACAACAGCCATGACTGGGTCAGGCTGAAGCCAGGAGGCAGAAACTCCATCTGGATCTCCTACTTGGGTGACAGGGAGTCCAAGCACTTAAGCTGTCAACTGCTTTCCTTCCCCTCCCCCTCCAGGGCGCATGAGCCAGGAGCTGGATCAGAAGCAGACTACCCAGGATTCAAACCAGCACTCCCTTGTGCGTTGCAGGCATCCCAAGCAGTGCCTTAGGCTGCGCCACAACACCCACCCCAGCACAATGGTTTTGAGAGTTATCACTCTTGTGGCTTGTACTACTACTTCATTTCCTTTCCCTGTCAAATATTGCATTTCACGAATACATTGCATTTTATTTATCCGTTTGTCAGTTGATGGACATTTGGGTTCTTTTCACTTTTTGGTTATTCTGAATTGTGCTGCTGTGGACATTTGTGCATAAGTCTCTGGGTGGTCATTTGTTTTCATTATTCCTGGGTAAGTTACTCATGGTAACTTTACGTTTAACATTTTGAGGAACTGCCAGACTGTTTTCCAAAGAGCCTGCACTATTTTACATTCGCACCAACAATGTATGAGGGTTCCAGTTTTTACACATCCTTACCGAAGCTGGTTATTATCTATCTTTTTCATCATAGCCATCCTAGTGGGTGTGAAATGATGTCTCATTGAGGTTTAGATTTACATTTTTCAATGTATTAGCTTTTCTTTTAAAAAAAAGATTTATTTTATTTATTTGAAAGACAGAGTTACAGAGAGAAGTAGAGAGAGAGAGAGGTCTTCCATCTGCTAGTTCACTCCCCAGATGGCTGCAACAGCCGGAGCTGCAACGATCCGAAGCCAGGAGCCAGGAGCTTCTTCCTGGTCTCCCGCATGGGTGCAGGGGCCCGAAGACTTGGGCCATCTTCTACTGCTTTCCCAGGCCACAGCAGAGAGCTGGATCGGAAGAGGAGCAGCCAGGACTCAAACCAGCGCCTATATGAGATGCCAGCACTGCAGGCCAGGGCTTTAACCCTCTGCGCCACAACGCCGGCCCCTACCTTTTCATTATTTTAATGAAAATACTTGGCAGGAGCCAGGTAGAAGGAAAGAAAAGTATATTTTATTTACAGTTTGGAGGTTCGCAGTTCAACATAAGGTGCATATGGAAAGAAGCCCTCATGCAGTGAGCTGGAAGCAGGGAGAGGCACAGGAAGTGTGGTCTTCCTCCACGTCCATGTCTCTCTTTATAAAGCCATTGAAAATTTTTTTTTTTTGACAGGCAGAGTGGACCGTGAGAGAGAGAGACAGAGAGAGAAAGGTCTTCCTTTTCCGTTGGTTTACCCCACAATGGCCACTGCAGCCAGCACGCTGTGGCAGAGGATTAGCCTATTGAGCCACTGCTCCGGCCAGCCATTGAAATTTGATCATGGGCTCCATCAACCCTAGTAGTCTAAACCAATCACTTCCCAAAGGCCCCACCTTCAGACATCATAATTGGTTCACGTTTCCACCTAATTCATCAACTATTAGTATAAATCCATTAATTGATAACACAAGACTTTAGATTTTGGGAAGCCAACGCCTATTCACCTAATGACTAATGATATTCAGCACCTTTTCCTTGTGTTGGTCATCCGTATATCTTCTTTGGAGAAATGTCTATTTAAACTCTTTATCATTTTCAATCAGTTCTTTTTATTGTTGAGGAGTAAGAGTTCTTTACACATCTGAACACAAGTCCCTTAGCAGAGATATGATTTGCAGTTATTTTCTCTCTGTTTTTTCGCTTTCATGCCCTTTGAAGCCCAAAAGTTTTCATCCTAAACCGGATTTTTTTTTTTTTTTTTGCATCTCTGCACATCCTCTGTTTCTTCTTCACGCAGCTGCCCACTGGATCCCTCAAGCGACAAATGTGGAAGCCATTAAATCATCCTTGACATCTCCCTACCTTCTTCCCCCATCACCCACCAACTTCCTTCCATCCATTGATCACACCTGTTCCTGCTACGTCTACCTGCAGAGTCTGCTTGAGCACATCCACTGCCATTTCTTCAGGGCTTGGGCCAAGCGACTACCATCATCATCACCATCATCATCATATTGTTTAGATTTTGAAACCTACAAAACAGACACTTTCCAACCACAATATTCATTTCTACACTTCTTCAATGAGCTCTGGGTCATTTATTGTTTCATTTTATGTTCTTAAGTTTCTGAATTATGGATCCAACTTTTTTTCTAGAGATGCTCAGTTATCGAAAAATGTTAACAAGTAATCCTTTTCCCCCACTTATTTGAAATGACATATTTATCATACATAAATGTCATATATAGGGCCCCTATACCTACATGGGAGACCCAAAAGAAACTCCTGGCTCCTGGCTTCAGATCAGCTCAGCTCAGGCCGTTTTGACCATTTGGGAAGTGAACCAGCAGATGAAAGACCTCTCTCTCTCTGTCTCTCCCTCTCTCAGTCTATAACCTGCCTCTCAAGTAAATAAATCTTTTATTTAACAATGAAAAAATAAATAAATAAATGTCATGTATGTATGTATGTATGTATATTTGGGTCATCTGCCAGACTTTCTCTTCTGTCCATTGAATTGTCACTTAATTCATCTGCCAGTAATGTTTTTAAAATTACACAATATTAGAATAATCTTTTATGAACTACAGTTATAGTTATCAGATGCCTATACTTTTAGGATATCCTCACTTTTAGGCTAAAGTCAAAAATCCTTATGTTGACCTGTAAGACCCTGTATGATTTAACCTCTGCCTACATCCACCAACATAGCTGGCCTCACTCAGTGTCTCAATGCCCGTCATGGGCCTTCTCTTTGTTCCTAATTTCTCCCCACCACTAGGCCTTCATATGTACTCTTCTCTCTGCTTGCAGCACTAACTCTCCTACTCTTTAGCCAAACCTTCTCATCCCTCAAGTTTCAGCTTAGGTGCCAATATCTCAGGAAGTTCTTCCCAACCCCTCCCTATCGTACATTTGCTTGGACCCTGTACTTTTTCTTCATAGTATGTATTGTCATTGAGATCATTTAATGGGGGGGGGGGGAATGATTTGTTCGACATGTTTTCCCATGGGACTGTAAACTCCTTACGAGCAGCAGCTGTGTGATTCTTCTTCACCAGGGTGTCTTCAATACCTAGAACAGTATCTGACACATGGTAGACACTTCGCAGATTTTCATTGTGCCAATAACTGTGGCCTTTGTCAGATTTGACCCATAAGGAATAAAGTCATGAGATCCAAGGACTGGGAATGTCTAAAGCATTTATAAAAATTGCTCCACTTAATTAATTATCAGATAATATTTTAAGATTATGTCTGTAGGGTTAGTGTTGTGGTACAACAGTTTAAGCTGCCACTTGCAACACTGGCAACCTGTATGAGTGCTGGTTTGAGCCCCAGCTGCTCCATTTCCAATCCAACTCCCTACTCATGTGCCTGGAAAAGCAGCTGATGATGGCCCAAGTGCTTGGTCCCCTGCCACCCAGGTAGGAGACCAGGATGGGGTTCCAGACTCCTGACCTCTGCCTGACCCAGTCTCAGCCATTGTGACCATATGGGAAGTGGACCAATGGATGGAAGATTCTCTCTCTCTCTCTCTCTCTCTCTGATAAATCTGCCTTTCAAATAAAGAAACTTTTTATAGGGGCCAGTATTGTGGCATAGTGGGTAAAACTGCCACCAATGATGCTGGCATCCCCTTTGGGTCCAGTTTGTACCAGGCTGCTCCACTTCTGATCTAACTCTCTGCTTAATGGCCTGGGAAAAGCAGCAGAAAATGGCCCAAATACCTGGGCCACTACCATCCCCATGGGAGACCTTGATGAAGCTCCTGGCTCCTGGTTTTGGCCTGGCCCAGCCCCAGCAGTTGTGGTCCTTTGGGGAGTGAAGCAGCAGATGGAAAATCTCTCCCTCTGTGTGTGTGTGTGTGTGTGTGTGTGTGTTTCTCCCTCTCTCTGTAACTCCTTCAAATAAATCTTAAAAAAAAAAAAAAACTTCCATAAGAAAAGATTGTTTGTACTCAGACTCTGAATACCGTGTATATAAACGCTTTAGACATATCTCCAATAGAGAAATCATTCCGTAGAAATATGGGAAATCTGTGTCAATTCTGATTTTCCTGCATTTTTCCCATCTGTATTTTCCCCACTACTACACTTAATGAAATAACTCCGTGGAATACTTTTGAGGCCTCTTATTTACTTTGATATTCTCTCTCTTTCTACTCCTACCTTCTTTTTTTTCTGTAGCAATCAGGCCTGTCCTGGGGGGGGGGGGGGCTTTTCTCACCTACCCCTTTGAAAGAAAATTACATTTAAAAAATTGCTTGCTACTAATTAAGT